CCCTCCTCTCCTTTCTCTCTCTGTCTGTCTCTGCCCCAGAGAGTGGAAAATTTCTGTCTCACTGCTCTCCTGCTTCCCATCCAGCGTTACCCACCTTCCAGTCCTGAATCCTTCTCCTTCTCTTTCCTCCTCCCAAACTTGGTTTTATCAAATTGAGTGAGAAGAAGTTCTCAAACTCTTAGTGTACTCTTCCGACATCTCCAACACTCTATCTTCATGTATTCATAGGTTCAACACATTTTACTGAGGACCTAGTGGTGGCTTCCATTTTTGAAAAGTGCATCAGGCCTCAATTTAGAGTTTGGAGAAAATTGTAGCTAGTGTCAAGGACTCGTTCAGTTTGTTTTATTGAATTTACTTCGGGATAAGACCCCTTGAAGATCTGGTGGGTAAGTTTGTGCCAAAACCTACTATTCAGGGACTCCTGAAGCCATCTGGGGAATATCTGGATGGAAAGGAAAGGCATTTGTCAACATCGCTCTGCCAAGCTGGAAAGCAAATGTGGATCTAGTTAAAGCTAAAAGGAGGCCAGAGGGTTGATTATCTTTTCCCCTGATGGACCATCTTTTCCTCTCCAGCTCAGCCTTTCCCTTCCTGGAATAGAGAGAGGCCGGCTTCCGCAAGATTGTCCGCACTCGGGCCAACTGGGAGAGTAGCATCTAATACGGCTCCTTGTCTCAGAAGGAAGCACGCTCACTCCCCTACAGCCCGACCTTGGGGTTGAGTTGGCCTTTTTTTCCCCGCTCTGGTATACTTTGGAAACTTTTTAGAGGGCTCGATGAGTTCTTGTTCTATTAGGTCATGGAATCAGGACCTCTGGGTGAGAAGAACCTCTCCAAGGTCATCGTACCCAAGCACTAGCCTCTACTTAAAATAATTCTTTTTTCCTCTCTCTCTTTTCCTCTAGCAACTATATATTGACACTGTGTTCCAGGCATGGTGCTATAAGCTAAGGATATAGTGATAAATAAGACAGTTAGATTTTTGCCTTGCTGGAACTTATTGCCTGGTGGAAGAGATAGATGCGAGACATCAACATAGGTCCGTTGGTGCAGTGTAGCAAGAGCCATTTTTAATCTTTCTGATATTATGTTTTGTCCTTTGCAATTGAAAGCTTTATTTTTATGTATATCCTTTGACTCTGAAATTCTACTACTAGAATTTATTCTTATTTATGTGTGAAAAAGCACCTGTATTCAATTATTTGTTGTGGTAACGTTTATCATGGTAAACGATTAGAAATGAAATATGCTAGTCCCCCCTTATCTACGGTTTCGCTTTCCATGGTTTCAGTTACCCACGGTCAACTTCGGTCCAAAAAAATTAAATGGAAAATTTCAGAAATAAACATTTTATAAGTTTCAAGTTGCATGCTGTTCTGAGTAGTGTGATGAGATCTCATGTTGGGATGTAAATCATCCCTTTGTTCAGCGTGTCCACGCTGTATACATACCCTGCCTGTTAGTCACTTAGGGGCTCTCTCTGTCATCAGATCGACTGCCGTGATATTACAGTGTTATGTTCAAGTAACCCTTATTTACTTAACAATGCTACATTCACATAACTTTAATTACAGTATATTGTTCTGATTGTTCCATTTTATTATTAGTTATTTTATTAATCTCTTACTGTGCCTAACCTATAAATTAAGCTATCAAAGGGATATATAGGAAGAAACGTATATATAGGATTTGGTACTATCTAAGTCTCCAGCCATCCACTGGGGGTCTTGGAACGTATCTCCTGTAGATAATGGGGGACTGCTATGTCCCAAAAGTCCGTCAGTAGGGTATTGATTAAATACACTATGGTATATCCATATGATGGAATTCTATCCCGCTGAGAAAGAGAGAGAGAAAGAGAGAGAGAGAAACAATAAAGAAGCTCTTTTTGTATAGACATGAACTAATCTCCAAAAGATATTGTTAAGAGAGAACAGCAAGGTAAAGAGCAGGGAATTCAATGAGTCATTATTTTTGTAAAGAAAAGGAAAAAAGAATATGTGTGTGTGTGTGTGTGTGTGTGTGTGTGTGTGTGTGTGTGTGTGTGTGTGTGGTTGTTGATGCACAGAACATCTCTGGAAGGCTACAAGAGAGAGAATCTATTTGGCTGTGGGTTAAGAGTTGAAAGGAGACTGCTCACTGTATTTCCTTTTGTACCTTCTGACTTTTAAACCTGTGGAGACAGTAATTTTCAAATACTTAAATTTTACTTAAAATGAAAACAACAACACCAGAGGGAGGTAGGACACGGGTAAACTGAAGCGTGGGTGCCCCTTTTCCAGCAGGCAGCAGCCATGCTGTTTTGTCTATTATTGGCCTGGAGAGATGCAGGTTTAATATTGTCAGATCTTCCAATTTTACAAAAGAAGCTGGAAATAATGTTTGAAGAATCTTCCAATTTTAAAACGTTGGCTCGAAAAAATTATGCTAAGTGAAGCAGATCTATCTATGAGCTGTGTCTAGTCTGAGCCCATCAATGTGAAACACTGTGGTAGAAACTCCAGGATCTCTTGGGAAGCTTCTGTATTTGGGAGAAAGATAATGAAGGTCACTTAGGACAGGGGCAGCAGGATGGCAGAGCAAGGACAGATGGAGTGGACACTGTGTGTGGAGCGGACACTGTGTGCGGGGTATGAGTAGAAACGATAGGATCCAGTGACAACTGGGTGTGGGGGATAAGGAGAAAGAGAGGTGGAAGAGGGCTCTGGATTTTCAACATTTAGTGGTTTGTAGGATGGAGTGATTTATAGGCAAAATGGAACGAGAATGACTCTGAAGTTAGGAAGACCAGGGTGCTCACCCCTTCTTCACTATTTGGGATAAAACTTGGGTTTTCTTATCATTAAATATACATAGTAGTACCTACCTCAAGGTACTAAATAAAATAATGCATATAAAGTGTTTATGGTGCTCAAATGTTAATTGTTACAGAGATTCGGTATTTTTGGTCATCAGTATTCATTTTTTATACTCTCATTTTCCTTCTAGTTTGTGAGATTCTGGTGGACTTGACTCCACCCAAGGAGGGAGTAGAGAAAGCTCAGGTAGGATGATGAATCACATCCTCATGTCAACAGTAATAGATGGGCATATGACCCAATCCAGGCCAATTAGAACCAATGAGAAACAGTCCTGGAATGGAGGTGGGGTAGGAGCCTAGATCGCTATGGCCATCTTGCCGCCCCAGGAGAGAAGTCTGAGATGGAGCCAACCAGTTAGCTGAGAGATGAAGAGAGAGAAATCAGGGCCTGGGGAAATAGTTAATATCTTTGCATTAGGCCTCAGCTCTATGCCCAGAGTTTTCACCTTACTCCTAAGTCAGTACATTCCAAGTTGTTTTAAATAAATACATTTGAACAAACAAACAAATAAACATGAGCGTCTATGAACAGAGGACAGGAAACTGCTAAGCAGGTCACTTGGTGTTTGATGTCCTAGCGTCTTGGGACGCACCAGTTTCCTCAGTCCCCTGGAGATTTCATGGGGGTGGAAGGTAGAATGATTGATAACTGCTGAGAAGTCTCCATTCCTGCCTGCAAAACTCCTGTAACAGTGTTAGAGAGGCTTCCAGATTAGCAAAAACTTAGACATACAGTCAAGGGTGAGTCAGGAGAAACAAGGGAGATAGAGAGACTGCGGAGTCGGAGCAGGAGCGGGATGGTGGGAGGGAGCGGTTTCTAGATTTTTATGTGAGGAAGCTTTGTGGGGAGGCCTGGGATTCCATGGCAGTGAACCATGCAGGTCATTGCGGAGCTCCGTGTTCTATGTCACGTAGGCCCTGGGAACACGAAAACACGTGGCACCTGCAGTGAGACATCAAAGGGTTGAAGTTGTTCAGGCAGGAGAAGGTGAGGCCAGAAACCGACCCCTGAATGATGACCTGGCAAGGGATGGTGTGTGTGCGAATGTCCGTCTTCCCATCTCAATGCTCAAGGTGGGGTCCACGTCCTACTCCTCTCAGTAATCTGCAGAGGAACCCAGACAGTGCCTGCATAGAAAGAGCCAGAATGAAATGTTTCACAGGGAAACGAAATAAAAGATGTCAACAGACTCCTTCTCCTTGTCCTGGAAGAGCAACCCTAAGCAAGCTGCCTAAACTTGGAACTGAGTTATTGGGGCACATGCTGGTGGGGAGAAAGGAGTGTGGACTGAGATTTCTTGGAGACACACCGGTTGGCTGGCAATTGGGGTTAGTTGCCCTGACACAGGGTCTCCTTGCTAGGCTTCGCTGGAACTGCAGAGACAGGGGACAAGCCTGCAAGTTAAAGGGTCGTGTTTGGAGAAGGAAGACAGGTGGGAGCCTCCTGTTATCTCAGCCCACCTTTTCTTTCTTCAAGCACCAATAAATACGAATTTTTCTTCTAGAGGCTGCTAGGCTCTTTCAATAGCTGTCTGGCTACAAAGCTTCTGAAAGATTCCCAGATGACATCTTCTAAATCTTCGGCCCTCTTCCTAGCCTCATTCTCCTCCCAGTTAGATACCTGGATAGCAATCCCTGTGTCACAGTGGGATTCCGGGGAGTGAGAAAGGATGAGTTGCCACCCCACATCTCAGACCTTTTGGCAAAAAAATAAGAAATTCCACCTGCCGCTAAAAGAATAGAAGAAAAATGACTGCTGGAATGGAAGCGTTAGAAGATTTAAAGGCCTCCTGGGATAATTAAAATCTAGGCTCTTGCCCTCACAGCATCATTGATTAGCCGGTGGCTCTTGAGCGATTCAATTCAATTTATTCATTCATTCAACAAACACTGAGTGATTACCACATGCCAAGTACCTGTTATGAAAGCTGACTGAGGAATAGTTTCTGCCTTCACAGACTAGATGGGGAGATAGATGAGCGGTCAAGACAGTTATACCGTAAGGTGGTACCTGGTATGCTGGGAGGAACCCACGTGCAATGGGACTCCAACAGAGGGCTGTCTTTCGTTGGCTTGCTTCCTTATCTGTACATTAGGTGTGTGGTACCAGATCATAAAAGAAAGGTAAGGGGGTCTTTGGTGTGCCTGTCATGGTCAGACCTTGAGGAGAAACTTGGACTCAGGTTAGGCTCAAAAGCAAATGCTGAGTGGTGGTTCTCAAGCTCCAGTGTGCATTGGAATTAGAACCTGATGGAGAGCTTATTTTTAAAAGGCAGATTCATGGGCCCAATCCCAGGAATTCTCATTCAGTAGGTATGGGGTGGGGCCTCGAAATCTGCCTTTTAAAGAAGTATCTTGGGTTAATTCTGGTGCAGATGGTCCATGAACCATGCTTTGAAAAAGACTGTCTCCAAAGTCCCTGATGACTCTAATGTACTGAAATTCCCCCAAATGTAAGTCATTTAGTTTGAGAAAGCAGAAGTGCCTTTGTAGAGCCTGGATTTGGGTTTCTCCTTCAAGATACAGG